GAGGTCGGTTGCGGAATGGCTTAAAGGCTCTCATCGTCGACAACAAAAGAGGGACCGGGCCATCAGGGTTTGTTCTGAAATTTGGGAGTGGCTAGTTTGTTTCTCGCTTAATGGCGAGTTTGGGGGCTGGCAGCTCAGTCGGATGAAGTCTCGCAATGTCGCGACGGCGGGGCAGGAGAAAGCCTTGGAAGGGATCCGAGCGGCAATCTCTCATTTCTGTAGCTCCCCTGTCTTGCAGGCCAAATTGCCAGACTTTTGCGAGCTTGTCAAATCGCGGCGGATGAGCTACGACAACGAGGAGGTGTCTGTTGCTCTGCCGCTGGTCCTGGGTGAGCTGGAGCCAGGCCTCCCAAAGGCAGGAGTGGCGGGGTCCCTCTTAGCGGAAGAGTTTGCATCTGGTTCTGTTTTGGAGTGGTTATCCAAGCCTGAGGAAGCCTTACTGCCCCCGGACCGCTGGCCAGCAAAAATCCCAAAAGCCCGTATTCAGTGCACATATCGAGAGTGGTGTCGAGTAGCCCAGTTCATGCACGAGCTGGGTATACTCCGAGCCATAGACGAAGCAGAAATTCTTCATGTTGCAGGCATGCCAGTATTAAACGGGGCGTTCGCAGTACTCAAGAAAGGCCAACCAGGCGAAGGATTCAGTAGAGTGACCCGTTTCATCATGAATATGATTCCTGGCAATGCGTATCAGAAGCCCCTCCGCGAGGAAGTGGGCACATTGGCAGGCGCTCCCACATGGGGCAACATCATTCTGCAGAAAGGTGAGGTACTCCTCTGGTCGTCGGAGGATCAGAAAGGCGCTTTTTACGCCTGGCAACTCCCAGCGGGCTGGGGGAAGTACATGGCCTTTCACTGGCCTGTGCCTCGTGCTCTGCTAGGCCTTGCAGGAAAGGGTAGTACTCATGTTTGCGCAGCAGTAATTCCCATGGGATGGGTCAATGCTGTTCCCTTGTTTCAGCATCTTCACAGACAGCTCGGGCTGAACCCAACATTCGGTGCTGAACTCCCACCTAATTTAGAATGGAGACGCGACCGTCCATGGCCCCTAGAGGCACAGTCCTGGTTTCAGTTCTACTTGGACGATTTTGATGCGGTGGAGATCTTTGAGGCCAGCCGCACTCCCAAACCTGGCACTGTTGCAGATTTTCAGGCTCGGCAGCGGGCAGCTTACTCGTATGCAGGGGTGGAAATAGCTGCAGATAAAACGGTGCAGAGGGCCTCTTCAGTTGAGCGTATGGGGGGTGCCGTTGATGGTGTGAGTGGTCGGGTTGGTGTTGGAGTGCACAAGGTAATTGAAGTGCTTGCATTCGCCCGGTATGTCCTAGGGCGTCCGCGCCTGGGCAGTCGGGTCTGGCTTATGTTGTTGGGTCGGTTGGTTCGGA